TACCGAGTACATAGCAATGATAGAAGCACGGGATGAAAATACACCGGAAGGATTACAAATAAAATTTTTCTTAATTGCTTCTGTAGAACTTGCGTGGAGAGGAAATGAAGGAGCGTCATGCTTGACTCATTATTTTCAAAAGGAAACTGGAAATGATGATAATCCAACTGGTAGAATACAATATAATGCTATTTTTACCAAAACCACTCAGGGAGGAGCAAATCGTGTGCTAATAATAAATGGCTTGTACCCAACCATAATGAAGTAAGTCGTTGTCCAGTAAGACTTCTAAATAAACTAATGATAAAAAGAAGCGAAAACATTAATATTAAAACAGATAGGTTATTTCTGACAGTAAATCCTAACTGGAGAAAACAAAAAACCCTGGGCTGGTACAAAAATATGCCAATTGGAGTGCATGAAATTAGTAAATGGACCAAAAAGTCTGCAAAATTGGCAAATTTAAATATGACAAACAAAACATTTTCAAATCATTCTCATCGAGCCACTGCTGTTTCACAATTGGCAAAAGCAGATGTATCGGAACAAGAAATTATTAAAATAACAGGACATGGTAATAGCAATTCTATCAAACCCTACCTACACTTAGATGAACAACATCACCAAAACATAATAAATAAGATGAGATCCAATTTTGAAAACGCTACAGGTTCAAATAATAACACCTTCAGTATTTCCACAGTGGCCACATTTCCAGCGCAGAGAATAACTCGATTAAAAAAAACGTAGTATATAATAATTGTAATTTTCATTGTACCAATATGTATTTAAATTAATAAATTGTTGATATTTACTTAATTTACTCAAAAAATAATCGTATCAAATACAATACGTACTTCAAAATAAATACGGTTTTACATCTCAAACTTCCTGCATAATTACAAATCGTGTCAGTTTGACAGAATAATCCTCCCGCTGTCAAACTGACACTCTTTATAATTATGCAACAAGTTATCGATGTATAACCTGATTATTATGAAGTACTTATAGTATTACTCTCCGAGCAATTACTAATAGAGGGAGCGTGAAAACGAGTTTGTAGGCGATTGTTGTGTTAGCAACATCTGTAGAGGAAGTGAGGAAGCGGGCACAAGGGGGAAGGTAAACATCCTTCTTGTTCAGTGGCGTATCATTTATCTATAAAAACACACATTGTCCAAACGTTTTAATTGTAAAAAAAAACTAAAAAATTTGCTAATTTTACTATACTTAAAAAGAATACCGTCTTATATGCGTCTAATGCAGGAAATGAAACAAAATCACTGTAACGGTCTAATTTTTTCAATTGAAGAATAAAACCTTAAAATCAATTTTATTATAAATAAATACAGTAGCGACTAGTTTCGGCCTTACAGAAACATCTTCAGGCCTGTATACAATAATCTTTAATTATTATAATAGGTTGGTCACTTACGAATAACATTAAATAGTATAAACCACAAAAATGGATCCATATTGTAGCGTTACAGCATTATAGAATTAAAGCTGTGAAAATAAAAGAGCAGTGCAAACGTAACTAAAAATAAGAAAACTGAGTACGGAATCTACAAGAGATGAGAATGAGAAATTACGAATGCATTTAAATTGCTCGGGATAACAAATAAAGCTGATAATGTAGTGGTATAGTCCCCGTCAAAGAAGATCTAGAGATGTTAAAGAGGACGGCGTTTTCTCTGTAAATCTGGAGAATGTAAGGATGAAGGGAAGACGAATCTTGCTGGCTCAGGTGTAGATGAAAGCTCCAGTAAATATCGTCACTTTCGTCTTAATTTTTTATTCTATCTCACCGGCACCGTTTCGGCTTTATCTTCGAAATTCATTTTTAAAAGGAAATAAAAGTAATCATTCATACAAGCATATAATAAAACAATATGAACTCATTATATTTAATAAGCTAATAAACGTTTGTTTCAATGAAAAAAAAACATATATGGGAATATAAGAAATATATAAATAGATAAGATTAATATCAAAATCAATTTGAAAATACAACAGATAGTGAAATGAAATAAATTAATACAAGTACAAATGGAAAGTTAATAACATACCTTCTAAAAGTAACACATTTTAAGTAGATATATGTTTAAAGAGTTTATTCCTGAACATAACTAATCTAACGTTTTTTTCCTCTTTTCAATATTATGAGGGTTTTTGTAGTTGAAATGAAAATTATAATTTATTTTGGTCCTAATAAAAATTTAAACATAGGTTATCGAAGAGTAAAATACATAATAAAACTTCATAATCTTAAATCGTTATCAAAAATTATTAATGGTAAAACTTCAAACAATAATTAGATTCTTAAACAAATTTCTAGTTTTTGTTTTGCAAAAGACTTTTTTGCCTTCATCGGTTGCCTCTGCCACTTTTCTTTTAGTAGTTTCGAGGAGAATTTTCCTATGGAAACTAGTAGAACCATCAATTGATTGGTAAAATTTTGATATTTTGAGTCTGGTAAGTCTTGTTAAATTTTCTTCTTAGGAAGCTGTAACCTAATGGAGAACAAAAATTTAATGTTAGATCAAAAGCTCTTAATTGAGAATTATATTTGCAAAGGCCGTTTTAATAATATATTCAAAAGTTCTTGGAATCGTTGTTAACAAAAACCTGCAAAAAATATATCATTTTATTCCTAAAATATAAGATATCACACAATGCACATTCATATAATATCATTGTGCTAGAAAAATACTAGGTAGGTACTGAGACAATTTAAAAAAAGTATTTCGAGAAACTCAACTTTTAATGTCATCATTGTACTTAATTTTTTTATTGCTAAATTATTAATAATGTCGTTTTGTGTAGTTCGTTGTGATTTGTATAATATATATTATAAAAACCTATCGTCAAAGTTAATGTGCCAAGTTTTTTTAATAATTATGTCCTTGTTATAGTAAAAACACATTTTTAAAGTTTTCTGGATTTATGCTTTAAATTATTGTACAATTGAACTGACTAATTTTGTGTTTAAGTAAAGGTATATCTCTTTTTTGTTATAACAGTCTTTGTATATTGTTCTAACTTTTAAGACAATCAGAGAAAACAGACATCTTAATATATCCTATTTCACCAACAAAAATGTAGAATAATTAATCTCATATCAAACGAAAAAAGTCATTTTAGGATGTCCTAATAGGTTTTAACTTAAAAACAAAATAAAATGTATATTGCAACTGTGTATAAATAAATGAAATGTTTTTATACCTGACTATAGTACCAGACAAACATTTTTTTAGATCATAATGATCTGCATAACTCAAAATAGTCAAAATCCACATTATTTAAGTTGTTCTAGTATTGTTTTAGCATAACGATGTAAACTCCAATAATAAATATTCACATTTTTTTGGGACGTTTTTTAAGGAAATTAAAAAAAACATGAATAATGTGATATTCTTGTTTAGTATTGTACTATATAACATAGTTCATTAGGTAGTGATTTAGAAGCAAATTATGTTCTATTTATAGAATAAAAAATCACTCATAATATCTAAATATTTATACCTATTTATATTTTGGACAGGAAGACTATTTTATGTTTTTGGCTCTGAATAGTTTTCTTAAGAATTTTAAAACCTTCCTTAGCTCTTTTGGGATATTCCATGCATATCAGAAGTTCAGTTTGTTCAAACCTAAAACAAATTAAGTACAAAAAATGAAAATTTAAACAATACACAAAATTAGTCTTTTAGATTATTTAAAAAAAAGTGTCAACAAAAAAATGGCTATGCCTTTTTCCTTAAACATTCTTTTTGAAATAAACTTACTTGCTGTTTTAGTATTTTAGTAGCAGATGAATATAGTGTAGAAGTAGTGACAGGATTGATTATTATACTTCTTTCGTCGAAATTGCATTTTTCTTTAATATTTTGCTCCCCTGAGGTCTATAATAAAAATGTTCATTAGCATAAAAAGTTATTCAGATGGTCACTTGTTGAATTCCTATATTTTGGAACCATGTATTTCTTTCTCATATCAAGAAAAGGAAACCTAATAAAATAACAATAAACTTTACAAAGATGTGATATTAAAATAATAAGTAATTAACCTTTACTATAATCATTATGAAGACGAACTTAGCTGGAGTTTACTTGCTCTTAATTTTAACTTTTCGATAAGCAAATAAGAAAGTTTAATTGCAAATTAAAGGTGATTGCCTAATGCACCGCCTCTGATAATTAGGTTGTGTCTGTACTTACTTATGATATTATCTTGAAGAAGCATTTTCAACAGGCCTTTTACACATAACGTATGTTTTTACCATATTATTAGAGATAATAAATCTTAAATATACATTTACAACCCTTACAACGTTATAAATAATAATATTTTCCGTAAAATAGAAATAAGAAATTGACATGTGTCAGAAAGTGTCAGAACTGGCGCTCACAGAACACTTCTGGCGCTGTCAAACTTGGCAACGCTGATTAAATAAGCCAATTACAGAAGAGGTATTTTCCCCCTCGGGGGGAGTAGATGTTGCTAACAAAATTTAGCGCGGGGAAGGGGGGAAGACTCCCTCTAGTAGTAATTGCTCGGAAGTATTACTACTGATTATATGTATTATATGGCGGTAAATGTGCTGGCGGTCAATTATAGGCTATAAATTGCTTAGGCGATTAACTGGTACGGCGGTAAACTGCTAGCGGTCAATTGCTGGCGGTCAATTGCTGACGGTCAATTGCAGGCGGTCAATTTTCCTAGACCCTTAAAAGACGCCTATATTGAAAAAAATATCCATTTGGATTAAAAATGTAAGCGTTTTAGAATTATTTGAACTCTAATAATAATTGCCAAATATCAGGCTAGACAGTTTCCCCCTCTATATATTATGGAAATACTCGCATACCTTTAAGAAATATACGCATTAATTTAAATTAAATATATTGTTATCAACAGAGCAAATAGTATAAAATTCAAAATATTTCTATATAATGCGTCGAAATCTTGACAAGTACCTACTTACTTAAAATATAAGACTCTCTTTGAAATGAAAATCATAATTAGTTGCTTTTTTGTAGTTTCAGCAATGAATGCAATAGGTCTTATTGGAGAGTCAGAAGGTATGCAGTATTTTTAAATTATTCATAATTTATTAAATGAAGAATTTAATTTTTCAAAATCTATTACTTGCTAATAAAATGCAATTAATAAAGCACGAAGTAAAACAATATACGAAGGTAATAATAATTAAAAATTTTACTACTTGCTTACTTCCAATTTAAACAAAATTTAATTTTCTCTCGAGAAAGCCAAGTTAGTTGGCATATTAATTCTTCGAGGTGCTATAAATTCGTCTTGTAACTAGTAAGGCATTTTTTATACCAAAAACTTCTATTTATGTTTAATTTATTATATTTATTTATAGGAGGCGTCGTTACCTGTACCATAGGAAAAGTTCCCCTTGGGCAAGTAAAACTAAATGATGCTGCTTGTGCAGCCAAGTGTTTAGCTCAACGACATAAGGGAGGTTATTGTGACGGAATCCATTGTCGTTGCCGTGATTAATAAGTGTAAAATTTTGTAATAACTATTATAAAGATTATTAAAATAATTTAGGTATAGGTGTATTTTTTATTTTCTTTTCTTTCCATTAATTTTTTCAGCCTATTGAACTTCATATTAAACTGGAAACACAAAATTATAGAAGGTAGAAGGGTGAGTTGCGCCCCAGCTTAACTAGACCCATTGTGCATCCTTCAGGGGCATATAGGTCCTGCCTCTCAACTTGTCAAAAACCTACTGGTTATCGCTAAGAGGTGTCTAGAGATAGTAATCTTCATCTTCCTAGCTCATCAAAATTCTAGGGAATATTAACTAATCAAAAACATGCTGGTTTTCGCTGGGAGGTGTCTGGGGTCTCACCCATCCTCTCAGGTCAAAGTCTTGCAGGTTACTAACGTCGCCCAGAAGTATCTCTAGATGCCCTTTTTATGAATGAATTAATGATTAAAGAAGTTTATTTACAGAATTATACAAAAATATTTACATCTACAAAGACATGTGTTTCGTCGAAAATCTTCGCCTCAATCCTCCGGCCTGGGCTGGAGAAGTATGGGCGTCCTCTCGTACCCTCAATCACGCATGCAGAAGTTTAAAAATGTGAATTTAAGGTGCCATCTCTTTATTATACCGGGTGTCCGCGCGAAAACTTTAAATGGAATTATTTCTGGTGTTTTAAAATATATCGACTTGAAATGTTGGAAGGTCATTAAGGAAGTAGGGGGTAAATTAATGGCGTATAAGATATCTGACATCTGCCGCCCCCAGTCACCCCCGGTTCAAAAGTTTAAATGACACCCTGTAGTTTTTTTTACATATTCTGAAAGAGCGTAGTTTTTTTAGTATCTCTATGTGAAAAAATTACTTAATTACATAATGAACTTTGAAAGATATTTACAGCTAAAGGTTTAGATACCAGATATTTAAATATCGAAAGCAAAAAATAATAGCAAGCCATGAAAGCTGCTTCGTTGCTTGAACTGTCAAATAATATTGTTTGTGACACTTCTGTTTACTCGTTAGTACAAAAGTTTTCGAAAAAATTTGACTTCGTTTAAATTAAATAGCTAAAAAAATAGAAAAATGGTTTACAGTTTGGAAGAAAGAACTGAAATTGTAGTTTTATATGGGATTGCAAACAGAAACTATTCGCAGACGGCAGCATTATTTAACGAAAACCATCCCAACAAAAATGTATCTGCTGTTTATGTAATTAATCTAATACAAAAAAATTTTAAAACTGGATCGGTAAATAATAAAAAACGTGATATGAATAATCGTGGAGCACGAGATGAAGCAACGCAAGTTGCAGTTATTGGTCACGTAAATTTAGACCCACAGCTTTCAGTTAGAAAATTATCAGAAGCTTCGGGAGTGTGCAAAAACAACGTGCCATAAAATATTAAAATTAAATAAAATGCATCCTTATAAAATACAGCTTCATCAAGAGTTGGGCGACGATGACTTCGATAGAAGAGTCCAATTTTGTGAAACTATGACAGGCATGATTCGGCAAAATAGAAATATTTTGCGAAATATTTGTTTTAGTGACGAAAGTTGCTTTTCCTTAAATGGTTTCGTAAATAGACACAATTGTCGATATTGGAGCGATGTTAATCCTTACGTTTTCAGAGAAGGCCATACGCAACGTCCCCAAAAAATTAATGTATGGGCTGGAATTCTAAATAACCAAATAATTGGTCCAATTTTCTATCACGATAATTTAACTGGGCCTAGATATTGTCACGATTCGTATAAATTCATATTTTTCCTAATTTTAATTAATTATTTAAATAACATCCTGTACATAAAACTTTGTTTAATTATGTCAACAATTTGTTTTAAATAGCAATAATGTGCAAGGTTGGTTATTTAATAATTATTAAACATTAGTTTTAATAACAATAAACGATGAGAAAGTTATAAAGGTAATGTCGAGGGGATGCACGAGGCTTTTTCCACAGGGAACGGATCCTCCCTATAGGAGATCCCCCTTGTAGGAGATTCCCTGTAGCAGCTTCAGGTCATAATTTTTATAGTTTAAATTAAAAGTCATTTTTTAGTATTTCAAAGAATTACATTTTTAAATAGTTTGTTAAGGGTTGTGACATATGCCCCAAAGATTAGCGGAGTTGGTAAGTAAGTATTTTGTTGTCTTTTATATTATATTGACCCTATAGTTGTGTATGTCGAGTTAAGACATATTTTGTATAATCGTTGTACTTTTAATATTATATTTGTTTTGAGAAAACATTGTGTTTTCTTCAGCCCTTTTACAGAGACGTGTCAGTTTCTAACATCAAGAGTAGAACCCTTATACAGTTAAGGGCTACGAAGCCAAGTTTAAGGCTAAATAGTGTTTATGTGATTGAGGCCCAAATTCATATATTTTGTTATTTAACCCCCGGGACATAGATAGTCCCATAATTATTTAAAACACGTAAATCGTGACATTTCTTTATAAAAACACGTACAACGTGACAATATCTCGAGTTTTAGAAGAATTAATATATCATTCAGTGCTTGGAAGAAAACTTAGATCAAATGCAGGAGGATCAGTTATAGTTTCAGTAAGACGGAGCTCTCCCTCATTACTGTTTAGAAGTAAGGCAATATTTAAATACCGTTTTTCCAGGACAATGGACAGGTCGTAGGGGTCCTATTGAATGGCCAGCTCGCTCCCCAGACTTGGCCCCACTGGATTTCTTTTTATGGGGACATTTGAAGTCTGTTGTTTACAGGACACCACCACAATCCATTGATGATTTGCGTAATAGAATCATAGAGGAATGTAGAGATTTAACACCACATGTCTTTGAAAATATTCGGAACGCTTTCGAGAATAGACTGTACTATTGGTTAAATGTAAGCGGTGAACATTTTGAACATGTGATTTAACTAAAAAAATAAAAAGAGTCCTTACTTTAGTTTATAAAGCGAAATTTTGTTGGTCTATAAGAATACCTATTTTTGTGATAAGTTGTATTTTTTTGTGATGTTATATTTTTTTGGATAATTAGATTTTTTGTTTCTATCTGCTTTAATTATTTCGAAATTTGTCTACTGTCCAAGGTTACTAGTTCTTTTTTTTAATATCTGGTATCTGAACCTTTAGCTGTAAATATCTTTCAAAGTTCATTATGTAATTAGGTAATTTTTTCACATAAAGATACTAAAAAAACTACGCTCTTTCAGAATATGTAAAAAAAATACAGGGTGTCATTTAAACTTTTGAACCGGGGGTGGCTGGGGGCGGCAGATATCACGTTATAGTGGTATCTTATACACTATTGATTTACCCCCTACTTCCTTAATGACCTTCCAAAATTTTAAGTCGATATATTTTAAAACACCATTTAAAGTTTTCGCGCGGACACCCAGTATATAATATTATATGGCAATTTTTACTATTTTGTGTGCATCGGTAATTGAACTTAACTCATGGAAGATGTATCTTTTGTTAGTGTTTGTCCGGTTGTCCGTATAGTTTATGGCTCAGCTGTGTAAATTCGTGAATTACACGATGTTACATTCAGTTCAGTTTAAAATCTTTATTAATATATACAGAATATACAGTCAATTTTTAACTTAAGATAATTACATAAATGTTCAGGTTTGCTTCTGAGAACCCATCCTGGAAGCTCCAACCCAAACCGTCCCATCTAGATGAGCCATGGCCGATGTCATGACCGAATAATTACCCTATTTAAATCAATTTTAGGATAGGTATGTAACCTCCTTGTTTTAATAAACATTATGCAATTGTGGTGGGCTAGCTAAATCGGCAATGGAGTATAGTCTATAGTTTTGTGTGAGTTTAATTGTGTCGTTGTCTTCCCTGAAAAACTACTTGCAAAAAACAGGGTTGTCATTGTATGAGTGTGTGTCACCGTTAGTCTTTCTTGAGTATTGTCTTTCGTGTGTGAAGCCAAATCACGAGTCTACACAGTTTGATCAACTTCCTGTGCCGAAATCTTAGCGAACCTCAAATTCAAATTCAATAATTTATTTACATTGTTAAATACATTAAATTGACATCTACATTTACATGTGCTTCGTCGATGTTTATTTCGCCTCCATTCTCCGGCCTATACTGGAGAAGTATGGGCGTCGTCCCGTCCCCGCAATCACGTATGTAAGATGCCGGAGAGGCTAACCGCGAGCTTAGTGAGCATCCACTGACTCGCAACAGTTAAGCAGTAATCTCTCCGGTCACGTCGTGGATGGGTGACCGCTGGAAGGTTCCACCATGGGCCGTGTCACCATGGGATTCATCCGACTAGCGTTTAGTAATCGACGACGTGGAATGAATGAGAATAAATCAGGGTGTGAATGGGAAAGTAGTAGGACCTTTAAATGGTGGTACAATAAGCCGCAGGCTGCAGTGCTGCCAGACTACAGATGGGTTAGGGTGTAGCACGGGAGGTCTGAAGGGTGTAAAACTAAAAAAAAAGATGCTCTAAGGGTGAATTTTTAAGGTGCCATCTCCTTATTAGAACAAATATTATATGGCAATTTTAATTAGGTTATGGTTGCGTCGATAATGGAACTAGACCCATGTAGGTTTGTCTTTTGTTAGTTTTGTAATATCTTCCTGAAAAAGCGTAGAAAAAACAGGGTCAACGTCACACGTCGAGAATCATCAACTAACTTGTCGAGCCACCAACGGGGGAGTGGGGGAAGCGGGGAGGAGTGGGGGGAATTAAATCTTTTTTAACGTTAAAGAGAAAAATTATGCCACATGGGCCTTAGCGTGTTTCTCGGACTTTACTGGTCCAATTCAAATGGGAAAAACGGCATTACGTAGAGAACGTGGTATTCGCTCCGTGCGAAGTCATGGAAAGGGAAGCAAAAGCGATACTAGCGCTAGCTGCGGATAATTCGTGCATTTTAGGGGGATATTTTGTAATTTTTGCATATCAAATACACGTATACATTTTACTTTTTTTCAAAAAAAGTAGGTAAAAACAATACAATAAGCAACCGGAGTTACTGTGTTGAAAATTGTACAAATACTAGCAATAAAAACAGTGAAACTTATATAAAAAATTTCAGTAGCAAAGTGAAAATTAAATTAAAGAAAGGAATGGATAGAT